CTGCTCGTGGTTGCTGGCAACGAGTCCACGGGGGGTCATCTTAACGGGTATGGACAGTCCTTGGCGATGGGTAGGAACGCCACTGGACCGGAAGCCAGTGACCAAGGCGTCGGCAGACTTGACGAACTCGGCCTGGCCAGTGGTGGGCCCGAGGCGTGGCTCGAGCCCGAACTTGCCTCGGCTCAAGATCCGCGTCTGCATTCTCCGCTTAGCTGGCGTTCTCAGAAGCTGAATCTGGCCGGTTGTCTGGTGCTCATCGGCTCCGCCGGCTGCCTCACCAACCTCACTCTGCTTGCGGCCATTCTCTGCCATCGTGGTCTACGACGCGCCTCCAGTGCCTTCATTATGCACCACTGCCTCTTGGATCTGCTTAAGGCCGGGCACAGCTTCCTCTTCGCTCTCGGCCTGGCGTCACGTCGGCCTCCGCCGCACTGTAACCTGTTGGCCGGCGGATTTATCGTCTGCCTCACGTCCACTGCGTTCAATCTGCTCGCCATGGCCATGCACACGGCGCACCGCTTCGCCGATCTCGCCGCAATTCGAGCCGGCCTCGGCGACGAGTCGACCAACTGTTGGTGCGTCGCATTCAGCATCGCGGCCGTCTGGTTCGCCAGCATCGTGCTCAATTTGGGCGTGGCTTTTCTGCCCGGCACTCCCGCCTTCCAGCAGGACGTCGGCTACTGCACCTTCCGGTACGGCGTGACGCGCAATTATGTGCTTCACTTCCTCTTCGTCAGCCTCGTCAGTCTGGCACTCGGGCTGACCTGCGTCTACCTCCGCCTGCTCTACCGCGACCTCCTGCGCTGCGGAGCCTCGCACCTCGGCTCCGCTACCGCCCTGCCTTTGTCACCGGCTGACTCGCCCTCGGACTGCCGCGGATTGTGCCGGCCTCGATGGTGGTGGCCTTTAACGACGACCGGCCGAAAGCACCGCTTGTCGAGGCGAACAGTCGGTGTCGCCTGCTCGATGGATCCCAGTCTTTGTGGAATAGACGGAGTTCTTGCTGTGGAAAACGCAATTCTGGGAAAACTATATGCCCTGCTGTTGCTGGTCGCTCTCTTCATCCTCTTCTGGTATCCCCTTTTCATGCTCACCCTAGTCGACCGGCACTTTAAGGCGCCACCGCAGGCCTACACGATCGCCAAGGTATTCGCTCTCAGCTGTACCCTAGTCAACCCATTTATTCTTTGCCTCAGCCTCTGGAGCCACAAAAACTACGGCTTCCATCCACTTGTCTTCCTCTGTCATCGGTTGTCGGGCACACACAGACTCATCTGCACGAGTCGACTGACGAAGCGGGAAAATCTCGATAATAGGTTGACTCAGTCGGAAAGGGTGATTGCACAAGAGACGACTGGCACCAGTGCAGAAGCAGAGGCCGTTACGAGGCGTGCCGAAGGGGTTGGAACCAAGCATAAAGCGATGACGAAAGGAGGAGAAGGAGACGATGAATCGGGTGAGCCAGAAGAAGAAGAAGAAGAAGCGGAAGAGGAAGAAGGAGAAGAAAACGGAGAAGATGAGTATTATGGAGGCACTTCATCAGTGGATTACATTGACAATAAAAAGAAGACCACCGATGCATTGGAGAGAGAAAATGTGCATTTTGGGAAGGAAGGGCTGAGTAGTAGTTATACAAGCATGTCAAACATTCACTCAAACGAAGTTGAGGCGAGCTCAAACTCGCAATTCTCCTCCGGTCTGCCAAAAGGTTTTGCATCTCGCGCCCAGTATTGCTCTGTTGCCATGCTCCATGGGGCTCAGTTCCCCGACATCGTCTTGTCACTGAATCATAGCCGACAAGGAGACTCTGTACACCCTTGTGGCTCCTCTAGTCATAGTATGCCAGGCAGACATTCACGACAGACTCAACCGTTTTTGTCTTCAAGGACGAGACTGGAAGACGGCCGTGTCGCGAGTAGAAGAGATTCCGAGTATGAACGAGAGGAGAGCAACAGCAGTGCTACAACCTTGGAAACCACCGGTATTCGGGCCTCCTCTCGTGGTCGAGAGGAGGACCGCATCCAAACTGGCCATTGGAAGTCACAGAGGTTAATGTATCTCATTTAACTGGCTTGCAAGTCAACTCATGCGAAGTGAATAAGGTGGAGTGAGGCTCGGCTCGTCGGCTCTACGTACTATACGGCAGTCTCAGACTTTTACGCTGGAAACGTTCCTCATCAACGGAGGCTGCTGCCTTTAAATATTGGGCTCCATCTAACTCACTATAAAAGTTAAGATAATCTGCATGTTTTTAGTTCAAGTTTCTCTCCAACCAAATATTTGTCTACCCGCCTATAGTCCTGAGTTCTTGAGAAATCATTGTGCTCATCCTCTTGTCACAACATTTGCCTCTTGCAAAATCAGGTGGCAAGCGGCCAGAGCCCGGATAGCTCTTGCCGGACAGTTATTGTGGAAGATGAAATCAAAGAATATGTGCAATTTTGCACAAATGCTGCACGCAAGTTTCCAAAAATGATCTACTTCTTGGACTGTCCAGTAAAGAGAAGACCCAAATTGTTATGCTGGCCAGTGAATGTTTTTAAAGTCAAACAGATCAAATAGTGATACGCCATTATTGCAATAAATTAGCCTCATCTTTACTCGAATTAGAAGCCTAGTCTTCGCGCATACAAGTCGATAACATAAAATATATTTTTTGTTACATTTAAGTTTTGATCTTAAGTGCCCATTATGTACTTATTCAGATCAGTGCAGACAACGAATTGCACTTCTAAAATCGAACATTTTAGTCGATATTGTTTATTCAGCTATGGCAACTATCAGTAATTAGAACTGTATTCATCTGAGTCACATACGATGATAAAGGACTGACAGTTCAATTTTACCACATGATGCTACTGAATATTTCTGCAGTGTTTGATAAAGGGTATTCTCACTTAAGCTGGACTGCGGTTGCGACTTTACCCCGACCCTCTCAACTCTACCCCTTTCAGAAATCGAACCCGGATATTGCAGCGTTACCACTACGCCATATTGTTACGGGTGCTAGTGTGTAAGGCGACAGCTTAGATCTTCAAGTCTAGCCGGGACTGCTCCACATCATACGAATGGAAGTGCAAGTAAAATCAACTTTATTCCATGTTATATCTCCACTGGGCTAGTGATGAGGCAGGCGGGAGTTCGAACTTTCTCTTCATACTTGGTGAAAACAACTTTTGGAGACAAGGCTACATGAAAAAAATTTAGATAGTTTCTTATTTTCACTAAACCAGCGTGAAAGGAACATTAGGTTCACGATGGAGATGGA